AGCTTGGAATGTTCTACCACAGATTGGACACAAATAGTCTGGGTGAACTTTTAAGGTGGATTCTCTAAGTTTGCAATATCTTATGTTTCTCTTGAGCTATTTCAATTCTGCTTTGCTCATAGAGCACAGCACCTTTTCTGATGTGGGTATGCCATGCTGAGCAGTCCTGTGCCAGTGTCTCCTATGTCACACAATCAATTCCAAAGTTCTTAAAAGAGACCTTGAAAGTATCCTTGTATCGCTTCTTCTGACTACCATATGAATGCTAGCCCTGGGTGAGTTCTCCATAAAATAGTCTTTTTGGTACGCATATGTTTTGCATTCAAATAATATGGCCAGCGCATTGCACTCTCTGAAGCAGAGTTTGAATGCTTGGCAGTTTGGTTCAAGAAAGGACCTCAGTGTCTGGTATCTTATCCTGCCAGGTGATCTTCAGAATCTTCTTGAGACAATTCAAATGGAAGTGATTCAGTTTCCTGGCATGGACCTGGCATACTGTCCAGCTTTCACAGGCATACAACAATGAGGTCAACACAATGGCTCTGTAGACCTTCAGTTTGGTAGTCAGTCTAACATCTCTTGTCTCCCACACTTTCCTGTGAAGCCTCCCAAACACTAAGCTAGCTCCAACAATGTGTGCATCAACCTCATTATCAATGTGTAAATCCCTAGAAAGTATATTACCAAGGTAATTGAACTTATCCACAGCACTCAAAAAGTCTCCATTTGCTAGAACCACATTCTTTCAACTGTCCTTTCACTGTGGCCCTGACCCAGACCAACCCTTCATTCTGTTACCTCCAGACCATCCCAGGCTACTTGCTATTCCTTAATCCCATCCAGATCTTCCCATGGTCTTTCTGAATAAAAGTGTCAATCTTGCTCCCATTAAATTGCACAGACTCACTAGGAATCTTGCCCACCCCAACCAGTGTCATAATAAACTCACTACTTGGATTGAAAGAAGGCTTAAATAATCAAATTCTTTCAAGGCAGACCCACACCCTGTACCCTTGCATTTCATGGTACCCAGAACTCCTAGACCACAACAGTCTGAACTAGATTACTATCCACATGAGGGGAGAGAAGGAAAGGGATGGAAGGATATTGTAGCCATAGATTCAATAAGACTAGTGAACTGATTGGATTTAGACGTCAGTCAATTCCCAAATTAAGCACTTACATTGTGCCAAGCGCTATGCTATGTGCTGGAGATACAATGAAAGGCAAAAGATGATCTCTCCTCTCAAGGAACTTATAGTGTATTGGGGAAGATAAGATGTACAAATGAAAAATAGGTAGGATAAATTTTAAATAATCAATAGAGGGAACTCATTAGCATTAAGGAGATTGAAAAAGTTTTACTGCAATAGGTGAGATTTTAGCTGGGACTTGAAAGTGCTCAGGAGAGAGAGTAAGCAGAGATGAGGAGGAGAACATCGTAGATATGGGGGACATCTAGGGAAAGTGCCTGGAAGTGAAGGGTCAAGACTAGCTCTCAGGCTACAAAAACTGGGTGACTAGCTGGAAGGATGGTTTCTTCAAAAGAAATAGAGAAGTTAGGAAGAAAAATAGATGGGAGGACAGATAACAAATTCCTATTTTGGATGTGTTCAGTACTATCTATCTGTGGCATAATGCCCAATACACAATTGGTATGTAGATCCAGGTACTTATGAAGTAAATCTTCTGAGCCCAAATTAACCAAAGACATATTCAGCTCTATTAAATTGCATCTAATTTGATTTGGCCCAATGTTCTATTAACTGGTCAAGATCTTTTTGAATTATGATTACATCATTCAGTATTAACTATCCCTTCTAATTTTATATCATTTGAATATTTGATAAATATTTGTTGTCATTCAAATCAATGATAAGCTTATTAAACAGCACATCATGAAACACAAATCCCTTGGGCAGTCCACTACAGACAGCCTTCCAATTTAACATGAAATTATTAATGACCACTCGGGGTCTGACCACCTAAGCAACTTTTAATCCATCCAATTTTATTACTGTGTAGCCCACATCTTTCTATGTGTTCCACAAGAATAGACTTAGAGACTTTTTCAAGTTCTTTAATAGAATTTAGCTAAACAGAATCTACAGCATTCACCTTGTATAGCAGTCTAGTAACCTTGCCAAAAAAAGAAAATGAGTTTAGGAGGTTAGTCTGGCATGATCTAAATATAGTCAATTCTGCTGTGCAAAATGGTACAACAAAAACCACAAGGCTTATGGGGAAAGTGAGGTTAGGAGAGCAATGCTAATGAAATTAGTCAATCACACACACACACAAAGACATAAAAATGACATACAAAAAACCCACACACCTAATAAAAATGGTAGCACTGTTTTATGCATGTTAAATTGTTAAGAAATACATAAATACTACAATAAACAGTGCTGGTACTACAACCTTGGACTCCTGTTCAGCCTGTATGATATTTCCTTTCCATGGACCAGGCTAGCAAAGTCAATGAAGGCAGCCTTAGTAGGGCATGTAGGAGGGATGGCCATGGTGGAAGGTGGGTGTAGGGGTGGAGTGCATAGGTGAAGTCCATCCCTTCTCTGCCTACAGCTCCTACCATGCCAGAAGATACACAATAAATATGGCACTTTACTTTGAAAAAGACCTGAAGTTGCTTGTGGAAGTGGGCTTTACAATGGTTTGCTCTTACAAGTTATTATGAAATGGTTCAGTTTTCTGCATTCTCAAAGATTCTTGAGGGTACATTCACACATAAGCAAACACAAAATTCAAGTTATGCTCAAATTGTTCTCTAATATATAAATTGCATCCGAACAAATTTGTGTTTTCTAAATAAGCATTACAGTTGAACTGACTACACATGCTACCTCATGATCACAATTTACTTTTCTAGATATTCATTAACTATCTTGGTAATGGTACATTATCTATTTTTCCCCTAAGAATCCAAGTTAAATTCATTAGACTTTTGTTTGCATATATCATTCTCTCCCTATTTTTTTCCCAAAATCAAGGCCACATTTTCCTTTCTCCAATCCTTGAGACCTTTTCAATTTTACACAAATTTATAAAGTTTACTGATAATAATTCACAATTCTTAGCTTGTAGTTCTTTCAGTAACAGAGAATGTAGTTCATCTGGACCAGGTTACTCAAATGCATGTGGGATAGCTAATGCTTTCACGCTAATCTTGGGTAACAAGTCACCCTATTAGATATTTTGTTGATTCTTCCATTGAAATCCAAAAGTAGTTTTCCTTCACAGACCAAAGGAAAGAAGAATAAGAACTCAGCATCTATTCCTTATATCATGAGTTTCTTTATCCTAAGCCTGAGTAGCTTTCTTACGCTTTCTGGAAGTTTTCATTCATCTCCAATATAGCCAGAAGTAGGCTGATAAATATTTTAATAACAGACCCCCTGGGGAAAAATATATGTGTGACACTTTTAAATTTAACCTGCATTATTAACATTATCACTTTCTTACAGCTAGACAATCAACAAATCAATAAATCAAGCCCTGATTTGTAGCATTTGCCAGTTTCCAAGGTGCAAATGCTCACATTGAAAAATTTAACAATTCAGCATAACCTGAATATCAAAATAAAAAACAAAAGGATACTTTTTGTTATCTTTAGTTTTGTGTTTTCTCTCTCTCTCTCTCTCTCTCTCTCTCTCTCTCTCTCTCTCTCTGTGTGTGTGTGTGTGTGTGTGTGTGTGTGTTTCATTCTTCTGATTTTTGATTTCCCATCCCTTCTGGGCTGCCTTTCCTGGCATAATTTTAGTTATTCTATCATTTTGGAAATAAATATCACCAACAATATTTTTAAAAAGAGGAATTGTCCCTTTTCTTAACTTAAAACAGAACCCTAATTATCTTACATCAAATACTCATAAAACTAAAAATAAAACCTTCACAAAAATTTTCAAATCGAATCTTTAAAAAGCAAAAATATGCCACAAATTTTGTTTTTGTTTTATATCCTTACCAGGAGAAAGAAAACAATGAAAATAATCTAGTAAGGTAGAAAGGTTTCTTTCTATAATAATAATAGAGCCCTTTTCATCTCTCTGTTTTGTTAACAACTAACTATGGCTTTAAGACAGACTGATTATTTCAGGTAGTTATGCACTTGTCTTTTAATATATTTAACCTAAAACAACAAAAATGACAAATATAGTTTGATAAATTGCCAAAAATTGATAAGATTAACAGAGAAAGTGGGTTTCTACTACTGCTCATATAGGCCCAGCAAGGCAAAGACAAAAACAAAGGAACAATAAACATATACCAGAATCTCCATAGTAGAGCATGCTTTGGGGGTAGCAAAAAACTGCAAAGAAGTGGTTACTTGTTCATTAGAAGGAAGCTAAAAACCTATGGCATATAAGTGCAATGGAATAAAGAATTCAGGAGAAGATGAGAAAATATGTATGAAATGATGCAGAGCATAAGGAAAAAAAGCAGAATGATGGCAAAAAATGTAAATGAGAAAAGAACTAAAAAGAAGTCAAAGTTGAAGTGATCGAAAAGCTCATGGAATTCCTTGTTCATGACAGAGAAACAAAGGACTACTAGAACAAAATATAATATACACTTTCAAACGTGCAGTTTCAAATGTATTTGCTTGTCACAAGGAAGAATTCAATAAAGAAGATTACAAGTCTTGAAATGATTGTGCTATACATTTAAATAGACATCAATATAATGCATTTTTTTAAAGAGAGAGAGAAGATTGGGGATTATCAACCTAAGCATAGTCACTTAAGTTCAGTCTAACTGTCACTGTGTGAGTGTGAAATGTGGTCATAATCCATATGATCACCACAACATTCTTACTAACAATATATTGCAATCTATCACTGGGTATTATAATGTTTCCTATTTCTTTCCCTTCAACTATACTTGAAAAAAAAAGTTAATCTCTTTGAGCATTAGAAAAACTAATCACCTAGATCTACATTGTTAGGAAAATATAAGGAAAGAAAGAAAAATCAATGACTGACCTGTGACCCTCTGTACCCTCGTTTGTGGTCCCATTCAGAATGTCCCATGAGCTGAAAGGACAAAAGGACTAGCATAAATTAAATATTATACAATATTTCTAAGATATATTAACCTTTTTCTAAATTAATTATGCATCTGATCTTCAAGATGCTTAACCAAACAAGGGACAGAGAGGATTAGAAGAGATAAAATAGAAAATTTCAATTATACAATATTGAAAATTTTTTGCACATACAAAATGAATGGAACTACAATAAAAAGGAAGTAATTTATTAAGAAAATTATTTGCTATCAATTATCTGATAACTGTTTGACTTCAAAGACACATATAATTAATGCAAATATATCAGACCAAAAGCATTCCCATTAGATAGGTGGTCAAAGGATAAAGATAAATAGCTCTCAAGAGAAAAAAATGAAAACTAGTTATAATTATATGGAAGAATGTGCCAAAACACTAATAAGAGAAATATAAATCAAAATCACTTCACACCCCCAAAACTGGTATAAAAAAGATGGAAATTCCCAGTGTTAGATTATGGAAAGACAAATACATTAATATGCTATCGGTAGAGCTGTGTCTAATCATTTTCAAAAGCAATTTCAAAGTACGGTAAGAAAATAACTAAAATTTCCATATTCTTTTTACTCAGAGATCCCACTACCAGGCATATTTCCAAAAAAAGTCAAAATTAAAAAGAAATGTCCCAAATATATTAAAATATTTATAGTGGCATTTGGGAGTGGCACAGCAGGGAAGCTATCTAAACAAATTGTGGAAAGGAATATATAATTGAATATAATGGTTCAGGGAGTAATAATGGATATAAAGACTACTAGGTAAGTATGGAAAGGCTTATACAAACCAATGCAAAGTGAAGTAGGCAGAACCACAAATGTGTGTGTGTGTGTGTGTGTGTGTGTGTACGCATACACACACAATTATAACATTTTTAAGTGTAAAAAATAACAATAAACATTGAAACTCAATCTTCCATAACTATAATGATTTATTTTGGTCACAAAGAAGAGAATGCATCTCTCCCTCCTTTGCAGAGAGGGAGGGAGGGTAGATGAGTGGAAGGAGACTAATACACTTTGTTGGACCTGATATGTTGGATCTTTTCTTTGTATTCTCTCTTACAAGTGATAGCTTTTAGGTGGGGGAAGAGGAGACTATTGGGAACTGTAGGTAACATGTAAAGAAAAGATATCAATAGTATTTTTGAAATAAAAAAATTAAGTAATAAATTAACCCACAAAAAAATCAGCAAGTAAGAAGAAGCCTTGGAAATTAAAGAAAACACAAATATGATAGAAAATTAAAATATTATGGAAATTACAAACAAAAAAGAAAAGAAAGAAAACATTCTACTTCCCAGCTTTACTATAAAGACTAAATTTATGAATCAGAGTAAGAACTCCCATATACGTAAAGTCAAGGAGTTAGGCATGATTATTTGGAATATAATTTTTTTTTGAAAGGAAGATTTATTTAACAAGTTTCACTTAGTGTAATACACCTAAAAGGAAATCACAATACGATGAACGATTTAAATCAAGGCCCCAGAACTCGAAACAAATGCCTAGACCAAATCCTACAGTATTTTGTTTCAAAATTGTCCCCATTAACTTAAAAAAAAAACCTTAAACTTATGTACCTTAGAGGATAGTAAATGAAATAAGGTAGATCAAACATGCCAAATGTTTCACTTTTGCATTGAAGACACAGCTCCTATATTTGTTTTACAAAAAAGCATGTCTCCCAACATATGTCTTAAATAGTGTTCTACATAAGGTGGTATAAGAGCAACATTTGGCATAACTGAAGCTGCTTTAACCTAAATTCAATTACTGCTTAAGTGCACACCTACAAAGTAACTACCTTGAGAAAAGCTGGAATTGTTTAACAGTTACAGCCTTTACTCAACTTGGTTGTTACATTCTAGATACATTTTCTTCTGTGTTCAAAAATACTGAACCTGAAGTTTTTAAAACAATCCTGATTTCACTTACAGTAAGCATAAATAACAAGCTTGTATTGCAAAACTGTTAAAACTTCATTTTTGTTTGTTTTTCTTTTTTTGTAATTGTTTATTATTTTACACTTAAATACAAAGTAAGAAAATAAAAAAAAACATTGCCATGTACACAGCAGACCATGAGAGGATTCAATATAAAACAATAAATTTCCATTTCAAGAAAATATATATAATAACCGCTAAACATTATTTTCAAAGTTGCCCATCTTTGCTTCCTTGTTGGTTTTCTTTTGTTCTCTGCTGTACTTTTTACTTTATTTTTCCCTTCCCTCCCTCCTCAAACTAAATGTGTGTGTATATGTATATACACACAAAAACAGATATCTATAAACATACACACATATACATAAACATATATACTCATACAAATATATTTAAGACCATATTTAACTTATTTCCTCCTATCATCTGTTTCTCCTGAGGTGGATAGCATCTTCATTCATATGTCCAAGTCTTCCCATGTTTTTCTAAATCAACCCACTCATCATTCCCTACACCATAGCAATATTCCTTTTTTGGATTCAAACATTTCCTTCATAGGATCTTTGAGATTAATTTGGGTATTTACAATAGAATGAGTTGATTGCTCAAAGTTATTCTTAAAACAATACTGCTATCACTATAGAATGTTCTCTTGGTTCTGTTCATTTTGCTCTTCATTATTTCATAGAGGTTTCTCCATGCTAAAGTCTAAAGTCATTGAGCTCATCATTTCTTATAGCAGAGTAATATTCCATCAATTTGTTTAGCCATTCCATAACTGATGGGCATTTCCATAATTTCCAGTTCTTTGCCACTACAAAGAGAAATGCTATAAATATTTTAGAACATGTAGTTTCTTTTCCATTTTCCCTAATCCTCTTGGGAAACAGACCTAGTAGTGGTATTGCTGGGTCAAAGGGTATAGGCAGTTTAATAACTCTTTGGGCAAAATTCCAAATCTTTCTCCAAAATGGTTGGATCAGCTCACAGATTCACTAACAATGAATTAAGATCTCAATTTTTCCACATACTCTCTAACATTTGTTGCTTTCTTCTTCTCTCATTTTAGCCAATCTGATAGGTGTAAAATGATATTTCAAGGTTGTTTTAATTTGCATTTCTCTAACCAGTAATGATTTAGAGCATTTTTTCATATGACTAAAAATGAATTTGATTTCTTCATTGGAAAGCTGCCTGTTCATAACCTTTGACTATTTATCATTGGGGAGTGGAATATAAATTAGATAGAATTGGTGCAAATTGTTATTACTTTGTATACTAAATTTCTGTGGTAAAGTTTCCCTATATGCAATTTTACTATGGAACACTTTCCCCTAAATTCTTTATGAAAGAATGTGTCACAGACCTTTTTTTTTGGAGGAAGATATTTTCAACCAATTACACCACCATAGTAAATATCTATTTCTATAAGCTAAATAAATCTAACTGATATTAATGGATAAATATAGGGGAAACCTATTAGTAAAGGGATATGATGTATGTTATTAGAAAACCATCTCCAATGCCTCAGGGCTTCCTCAAGAACCATGAGGAAAGATGTAGGAACCACCCTAAGAGTACCAAGTCTGCCAAAGGGAATGGGGATTTGGGATAGTAGCTGCAAAGCATACCCTACACTACATAAACAAATAAAAAAGAAACAGAAAAGGACACCCTACCAAACTTTATCATACAAAAATGTTCTTTGTCCCTAAACCAGGAAGAAATAAAGCAGAGAAAGAAAACTGTCAGTCTATGTCACCAACAACATGATATAAACATAATAAATGTAATTTTAACAAAAAGGCTATAGAAACATATTTTCTAATATGTTCCATGGTGATCAGATTGTGTTTATATGGGGAAGTTATAGGCATTTCAACATCAAGAAAACAATTTACATGATTAATCTCTTTGATAACAAAAAAAATCACACATATTGCAAACCATTACCTTATAGTGTTAAGAGGGAGAATTTATATCCTGTCAAGGAGACATCAATAATTATAGAAAATAGTTTCAATGGGGATGTTTATACCTTGTATAGAGAAACTCCTTCATGCCAGAAGAAAGGCCACATTTTTTAAATTAGTTAACCTTGACTAGGTTTCTGGTCATACCCTCTACTAGGCCTATAATTGAACAGAAGGAAGAAAATATTTTTAATTACATTTGGGAAATTATAAATAAATTAATGACCTCACAATGTACCCCAGCAAAAAAAAAAACAACACTTTTTTTCCTTAAAAAAAAAGAATCTAAATTTTTTTTCAATTATCAAGTGTTAGTTTTTTCTTTCCTATTATGAAAAGAAGGAAAAAAAGGAAGAAGGAAAGGAGGAAAGAAAAAAGGGAAGGATGGAGAAAAAGAAGGAAGAGAGAAAGGAAGGGAAGGAAAGAAGAAAAGAAGGAAGGGAAGGAAGTAAGATAAGGAGGGAGGAAGACCTAGAGGAAGTCCTTTTCCATGTTTTGTAGATCCTATGGGAAAACATACACAAGACTCAAAGGATGAGAAGCCATTTCTGGCAATACCCACATCAATGAGAACACAGTTCTGTTGAAATATTGAAGCATAGGCTGGGATCATGAGCAAACCTCACAAAAAAAGTCAGACCATAGAATCTTTCTTTGGTGACAAAGAAGATTGTTTTCTTCTTCTGGTTACATGTTTCAAACTAAAAGCTCCTATATCCAAAGCCTCCAAGAAATACGAATTGGTCCCATGCCATAGAAGAGTTCAAAAAGGATTTTGGGAAACAAGTAAGAGAAATAGAGGAAAAACTGGGAAGAGAAATGAGAGTGATGCAAGAAAATCATGAAAAACAAGTCAACAGCTTGCTAAAGGAGACCCCAAAAAAAAAATACTGAAGAAAATAACACCTTAAAAACAGCCTAACCCAAATGGCAAAAGTGGTCCAAAAAGCCAATGAAGAGAAGAATGCCTTAAAAAGCAAAATTGACCAAATGGAAAAGTAAGTCCAAAAGATTACTGAAGAAAACACTTTCTTAAAAATTAGAATGGAGTAA